ACGACGTTTGGAGCTTTGATCCTTGAAGAGGTGGATTTGATGCTCCATAATACTTTTGGTTGCGTGTCCCTTTGACTTTTCGATCGAAGAGGGCCTAGTTGATGCTTTATTGAAGAACACAATGAACTTCTTGAAGCTTTGATAGGAACTTTGGAAACCTTCCATTGGCTTTTACGAATTCCTCAACGGCTTTGTGAGCTTTGATCCTTCATCCGGCTCGGAAATACGACGAAGAACGTTAACTTCATCGATTCTTCAACCAATATTGGATCATTTGTCCAAATCAGTGACTTTTGACGAAGAACGCTTCGAATGACACGAAGAACATGAAGAACAATACAGAGAGAGTCTACAGGCTTATCCTTTTGTTTGAATCCTCGATGTAACTTCGTTGTCCCTAATGAACTGGCCATGGCTCTTATTTATAGGGGAGGGGTGGCCTCGGCTTCCTTTTTGAATGGTGTCACGTGGCGTGTCCTTATTGGCCAATACGAAAATTTTATAATATTTCCTTTTCCATCAGATTTTGTTTTCCATTCTTGACGGATTTGATTGTGCACCTTCATTTCTCGCCAAAATCTTTATATTATTGTCTTTTTTTGAAAAATATTAATTTATATACTTCATTTACTGACAAGATTAATTTATTTTGCTGTCAAATCTATTATGACTCTATTTATGCACGTAATATTTCTACAATATCTTTCATTTTAAGCAGATTTTTGCATTAATGGTTGATATTTATTGTACAAAAATTAAACATAATTAAATATAATATATTTTTTTATTGAAATTTTATTTTCCTCCAAAATACATGATATTTAATTTATTTAGGCATTCAATTTTCAATGCCTACAGTAATATAATGTTAATTTATTTTATATTATGTAATTTTTAATAATAATATAAATAATTATATCTAATTTATAATTTATAAAATAATACTAAATATAAAAAATTCATTTAAAATACAAAATATACAAAATAAAATAAAAACTTTTATTCCAAATTTGAAGTAATGCTACACTGTTCATCCAAAAATGAAGAAACACTATACATTTCTTCAAATACAGAGCAAAAAAATGGATTCGATTGAAACAATTTTGCTCCAATTATTCCTCTATAATTGGAGACGGTTGGAGTGAGCCTTACGCATATAATAAATAATTATAAATTAAAATAATAAATTAATAAATTTAGAAAGAATTATAAAGTAAAAATTTAAAAATTAAATTAAATTGTATACTCCCTTCGTCCCATAAATATAATCTTAACTGGGTTGGGCACAAGATTTAAAAAATATTGATATTATATTGGTGGTTGGTAAAAATTATGGATAAAAGACTTTTTTACCCTTGTAAGTGTTTTACAGTAAAAAGTAGTGGCAATTGTGTAATAAAAACGAAAAAGTATGGGTAGTTTTATGGTGATATGGTTATTTATGAAAATAAGATTATTGTTTTGGGACGGACAAAAATGGTAAACAAGACTATTGTATTGAAACGGAGGGAGTAGTTTTTTTATTTTCTTAAATAACAATATAGATGTAACACTTTGGTAAATAGGACTGAGGGAGCTCCGTTTCGGATATTATGTATATGTTACGGTAGACACGGTAATTTAAAAAGAGTATAATTAGTAAAGAATTAAGAATGTATTAGTTAAAATAATTATAAATTAAAATTAAGATAACTAATTAATCTAATTAAAATTTAAAAAGTGACAAACGGAAATTGAAAGGTGGATATGATAAGTGAGACGGAGAGAGTAATAATTATTGGATAATAGAATGCTTTTTTGTATATATATATAAATAAAAAATAATATTGTTGATTTTTTTTATCCAATTGGATCCACCCTAGATAAGGCATACACACCAATTAAGCCGCCCAATAGGACACTGGCCTTGGCCCGCGACCCACATCCACTGACCTGTCCGAACCGCTCCCACTTACCTGCTGTGACCCGTGCTTGACCCCGCACTCACGGTACCTTATCCCTTACCCGGTTCCTGACCCAACCTGCCATTGGATCCGTATCTTTTTATGAGATTCATCATTGACCATCTGATCTGGATCTTTAATCTTGGTCGTTGACTTCCTTTTGACTCTAGGTATATACAAACAGATAGTAATGATGCAGCCTCATTCACTCACTCTCTCATTCTCACCCTAACTTCTCGCTCTCTCTAGCCTCACCCAATCTCTCATTGTCTCACCTTCCGACGGCGTTTCACGATGGTATTTTTTCTCCTGTAAAATTGTGGAGATCCTTAGGCACATATTACTCCAGTTTATTGTTGTTGATAGCCGCAAGGAGCTTGTTCAACGTTGTAGGCATTTGTTTGTCTTGTTGTGTTGTCTGTAGGGTTATTTTCTTTGTGTTTTGCGGGTTTCGGGCCGGTCTTCCGTATAGTCGCTAGTTAGGTGTGGCTTTTATGTGTCGATTTATATTTCGAGTTTGTTAAGGGCTGAGCCTAACAAAAACTAGTTCAATATTTTGTTTGTTACTCGATTTTGTAATAAAATCTTTTAATCTGTCCTTATATTTATATAACAAATATATTATAAACCTCGTTCGAACTTATAGTTCGAAAACTATATAATAATATATTCCTAAATCATATTGGACTAATTATGTATGATAAATAAATCTAGAGACATCGAAAATATTTTATTTATATTTTATTAGCTCAAACATAGAAAAAATATATATATTTACACTTCAAAACAAACAAACCATATACTCTAGATTTGCTTGATTCAATGTGCATATTTTTGTTGAAAATAATATTTTATATCAAATATTCTATTCGTTCAAACTCAAAATATATTTTTTATTATTTTTGTTTGTCTCATTTAAAAATATCACTTTTTTATTTTAGTAAAAGTAATCATAAACCAATACTAAAATACCGTTAACTTTTACCTAATATACCATTACACATACAATTACTTTTTGCACAAAGTCAAATAGCAAAAATATCAAAACCTCTTACACACTTCCACTAAGTAATAAAATATTATTATTTCTTAATTTACTATGAGGACCCTTTGGACCGGGCGAAACGGAGTATTAATTTTTTTGTAAGATAATACAATATATATATATATATAGTACAAACAAACTTTTGAAAACTAAAAGTAAATTGGCTTTGTTCTTTTACCCATAATTTTCACATTTTTTTAAAAAAAAATAAAAAATTAATATATTACACTTATTATTTTGGCAAAATTGTAAAAAATTATCTGCGATTTTGCAAAATTGCATCAAATTCTCTGTACTTTTAAAATTGCATTGGGCTTTCTCTGATAGTTTTATAAACTCTGCCCCTAATCCTTCAACCGTCCTTATTTAAAGGTCTTTGATTTGCATGCACTCAAAGTTTCACAATCTTCAATTCTAAACTTTTGAAATTAAAAATATACTAATTATTTTTATATATGACCCGAAGAAACAAAAAATATACATAGAAATAATTGTTTTATTTTTTGATTTTAAAAGTTTTTGCTATAGTTCTTTGATGCTAAAGAAAGGGGAATGAATATATTCATAATTTTAGTGATTTAAGATTTGTAAATTCATTCACAATTTAGACACATGTGGATCAAAACACTGTTGAATAAAGACAATTGAGGGAGTTAGATACAAAATTTATAAATTATGAAAAAGTTTAACGCAGTTTTAGAAGTACGAAGATTTAACACAATTTTGTAAAATCATAACTTGGTTTTGTAAAATTTAACCTATTATTTTTATATTACCTACACAATTCTATCTCACATAAAAAAAAAAAAAAAAAATTCAAACCAAAATACAAAACAAACCCACCCAATATATGTGTGTTTATTGTTTATTTAAAATAAAAAAATTATTTAGTTTATACAATTTTTTAAAACAAAATATTAATATTTTTTTCCTATAAAGTATATGACATCTCTTTTGAGATAGATGGAGTATAAAAAATATAATATATACACATATTAATATCATATACTAGTATTATATTTTATATTATCGATATAATTTCTCATCTTTAATATTCCATTAGTCTCAATACAATAGTCATATTTACCATTTTTATCCGTCCTAAAACAATGGTCTAATTTTCATAAATAATCATATCACTACAAAACTATTCTTACTTTTTCATTATTATTACACAATTGCCATTACTTTTTACATTAATACACTCACAAGGGTAAAAAAAATTTTTACCCGTACTTTTTATCTACTATCAATATAATATCAATATTTCTTAAATCCCGTGTCAAACACAACTTAGACTATAGTTTTGGGACGGAGGAAGTATAAAAATTGGCAAAATTGTACGAAACCTACATATAATTTCACGAAATTGGCCAAATCTCTTATACTTTCAAAATTAGGTCAAAGTCGCTCGTGGTTTTATAAACAACTACGCATCTAATCCTTCGGTTGCCTTTTTTAATGATGTTTGATCTACACGCGCCCATATTGGGAATAAGTTCATAATGTCTGTTTCTAAACCACTAAAATTACAAATATATTTATTTATATTATATTCAACCCCCAAAACACTATTTACTATTTCTTGAAGCTAGACTAAGTATTAACTAATGAAAGTGTATGAAATTTTTAATGTATTTTTATTTTTACTATAAAAAATAATAGTTTTTTCATCCGTCTCTGAGGTCACATCTTCATTGTAATTAACATTAAAAATATTTTTATATTTATATAATTATTTTTGTGAAAATGTCTTTAGTATTATAAGAATGGAAAATATTTTTGCAATTTTTTTTTTTTAAATTTATATTAGATTTTGATATAATAATTAATATTCAAAAAGATTAAACAAACCGGATGTAAGTGTAGTATTTTTATTTTTTTTAGTGAAAAAGACTGAAAATAATTTTTAATGGAAGTACGGAAATAAAATACACCAAATACAAAACAAAGAGACGTAATAACAACTAAAACTCAAAATCACCAGAACCAAAACAAACACGCCCCAAACAAGAAAAAAAAGAAAAGGACATAAAGCTAAAGTGAAGCTCACGATCTGAGGAGTTAATTTTTATATTTCGTACAATCACCGTGACGCTAGATTTTCCACACCTTTTCAGCTTTTTCCAATCCCACCAGTTTCGCATTTCGCCTAAATCTCGGCCTACAGTTTGTTGAAGATCTAAGGCTTCGTTTCCCAAGAACGAACTTGAGTGGCAAGATTTCGAACTTTAATGTTCTTGTTGATCTCTTGAGACCCATTGGCACATCATTATCACTGCCGTATGCTGAGTCCTGGACGACTCAGTTGAGCTTGTAAGTCTATTGGTTACTGAGTGTCTTCCCTTGTGTTTTGATGTACTATTATATATATTTTGCACATTATGTGTTCGATGTATTGTCTCACTGATGCTGCTGCTATGGTGTTATAGCAGTTTATGGTCGCTGTTCTACTGGTGGGTTCTTATAGTCAGTCATATATGAAATGCATCTTCAGGATTGCACTTTTATTTGGTGCATTAATTCACCTTTGCCCTTCTACTCGGTGCATCGGCACAAATGTAGTTTCTTTATACTGTGAATGATATATATATATATCTATGGGTATAAATAATAAATGCTAACAAAAGTTAGGGGTTTCCTTGCCCTAAAAGTTTGGAAGTGCTTGAGGTCTTGTAGAAGGCATCTAACAATGTACTAACCAATAGAAATGAGAATATATATATATATATATATATTTCTCTTATGTTAAAATTCTAAGTCAATTTAGCTTGCTGGTTAAGGTTCTACGCAATGACAGTGCACTTTGATATTACCCATCAATCCTCTTGTGCCTAAATTCCTCAGGAGGATTAGATTGCAGAGTGGAAATATTACCACCTCATTGAAACCACTTGAACTCTCTCTGTACACCATAAATATCCCCCTGCATGTCTGGGTTATGGGTTATTGTGGTCCTTACTGCCTACTGTCTTTTTAATTTTGTCTTCTTTTGTCCTTCAGGGCAAGATTCGATGTTTGTAAGCTTAGATGTTTTTTGTGTTATTTAATGCAATCTTCTCATGTTTGCTTTGACTGGTTTAGTGCTACCATACAAGATTTTGAAATGATTACTTGTGTGAATGAGGCCACGCTTTTATAAGCACACTAACATATATTTTTGTCTTTGTTGGTGGTAATATAGTATCATGGAAGAGCAGAGGCAAACTGTTGTTGCTAAATTTAGTGCTTAACTAGAGTCTCAAGCTTTGACTTTAGGAACCTCAAGTAGCTACGTTTACAACTAAAGTTTGTCAGTATCTCAGAGATATGATTTGTTAGATTAATATAATATAGGTATAGGAGATAATCTATCTATCTAATAATTCTAACTATGTCAAGATATGGATTTATGTAGATTGTGTTAATCTAACAGAATTATTTTGTACTAATTAGGTTGCAGTGCATATTGCTTCTAATTTATATTCCACGAGTGAACAAAACATATCAAGATTGATTGCCATTTCATCCGAGGGGACGTGTTATTTGAATGTGTTACCACTGTCTTCCAATGTCGGTGGACAACACCCTCTAAAAATATCTTAACAGTCCTAGGATCAAGTTTTCATGTGACAAGCTTGGGCATGCAATTATATGCTCCAGCTCAAAGGGGACTGGTAGACTATATTGTAGTTATATAGTTTTGGATGGGCAAAAAGCCAATGGTTCTAGTTACTAGTATTTTTGTGATCATCAAACTATTAAGAGTACTTTCACAAAAAGAATGATTAAATCCACATCATTCATTTACTAAAGCAAAGTTCCCAGTGCATCTATCAGCGTGGTATCAAGTATATTATATTGAAGGAAAGTTAGTTGTTTGTGGGCTGAGTTTTTTGTCTTAGGTCGATATATTATTAGTTTGATATTGTGTGTTTTATATGCAAATGGAGAGATCAAACACGACCTAATATTGCTTAATTATGTTATCCTTTTGCAGGCTCCAACGGCTTTTTATCTCGATGTTACTACTTTTCCATTGGACAAGTTGTATTCACACGTGGTGCACAGGGGTGAATGATAAATGTGGATAAAAGCCATAGTATTTTTTCTCAGAAAACTCCTCAGCTAGAACGTTTAAACTCTCTATTTCACATGCTGTTGTCATTTGTTTGCTAAAAGCTTAAGGGAATCTGGATTGAGATGATGATCAGTCAGCAAGTTTTAGTGACCTATGCGTATCTTTTATTATATATTTTGCTATCCTCGGGAGTTATTCTATATAACAAGGTATGTAATCTCTTTCTAATGTATGTGGAAGAGCCTTTTTAATTTATACCGTTGCACAGTCTCCCTCTGTTTTACTGGATATGAGTACGGCCTATTTTCTGATAATATTTGTTTCTTAGCTATTTGTTGATGCTATCTCTAGAGGCTTTTTTCTTTTGATTGTTGACGTGTTTTTAATTGAGCATGTAAGATATGGGCTTACTAGCAAGCATCGCCTGTTTAAGAATATAATGGAAAATAGTTATAATATTAATTCTGACAATCTCACCTGGTTTCAAGTGAAATAATTGCCTACCCAGATTGCCTAACTTGAAAATCTCAGTTTTATTAGAATAAAATTTCCTTTTTGAGTGCTATCTGCCCTAGATTCAGATGAGTCTTTGTCTCGTTAGATATGACAGCTGAATGTCAGCTGCTACCAATTTTCTCTTCAAAGAAATTGATGAAGGTATTATTAACTTTAGAAAGTAATAAGGAGTTGTTACATGTAAATCTTATAAATTTGTTTCTGATATAAGCTATGTAATGACGTGAGCCTTTACATAAGTTGTGTAGATATCTTACACATTTCTTGCTGTAGACACTTTGCTGCTTTAATTCTATATCCACTGTTGTGCTGAGCTAAATATATGTAAGTAGTTTTATTTATATTTCAATGCCATAGAACTGGTGTCCGATTCACGATTGCTAATGGATTTTCAGATAAAACGTCTCCTGTTTTAAAGCATAGAACATTCAACATTAGATACAGATGCCATTTTCCTAAATTATCTTTTATACTTGTTCATAACTTTTGGATAAATTTCATTATGCTCTAAAGTCTTTATTCTCTCCTCTAAGTTAAAAATTGCTTGAGACCTATCTATATCCTCGATAACTCTATATGGAGCCTATGATCCATAAAATTTAGCGGATAATATGTTTCACAGGTTACAAATGCAACTAATAGTGCATATCTGACTAAACTAACTCTTGGTTTGGTTGTAGTCCTAAATTCCTAATGGGAGGAACATATCATTTGTTCAATTTTAACAGTTGGGGTTCTGTGTAGAGCTTTAGGAAACTCAAGTAAGCTTTATGCAATTTTTAAACCAGAGTGGAGAATTGTGACTTTTGATGAAATCACAGGAGAGCATAATGAAATTTACCCTTAACTTTTTCCAAACAACAACGAGTATGCTTTTTTCACAAGTTACTAGGTTTCTTTCACTTCCTATTTAAAGTTTCACTTTGGATTTCTTATCCTGTGCAGTAAATTGTATCTTGAAAACTATTCTTGGCTTGTTTGTGTCTGCAATTCATGTAAGCTCCCATCTTCCTTGCTAAATCTTTTGCTTGTATGCAGTGGGTTCTCTCCCCCAAATATTTCAACTTCCCATTTCCTATTACACTTACCATGATTCACATGGGTTTCTCGGGTTTGGTAGCATTCTTTCTGATCCGTGTATTTAAGGTAATGATTCTCTTGCGTCCCCCCTTCTATTCACTTAATATATTATAGTTTTTGTTGCTGGGTTTGAATCTTGCATTTTTTCCCCCTGAACAGTAAAATCTTTGTGTGATGATGTTGGATTATCTGAAACTCCTGAACTTGCATGTTTACTCTTCTTGTTATTCTGAGTTTATTATTGTTTAAGGTAGCTCACAGAACTGGGCCTATCATATTTCATTAGAAACTATATAATCAAATAATTTATGACAGAAGTCGTGCTTTCCTTGTACATTTTTTGGGGCTATACTTATATCTCAAGGGCTTCAGAGTTAACTCTGTGGATCAAATGTACATCTACATTTTACATTTTACATCTGCTAGACCATCGCATTCTAGCGACACATGCTGCAGGTTATTAATAGAATATACCTGGTTGCGTCTGTGATTGCTTATTGCATATGAAAAACACAATATATATATATATATATCTATATATATATAAAGCTTATGGGGGCAATCATAAGCATTAACTTTATTGGATTGAAGCTAGCATAAATATTATTGTGCAAGTTTCCCCTTCACAAGTGCAGTGACAATCTGGATCCGTGAGTCTATTCCCAAACCAATGTTGAATTATCTAGGAATCTCATGAGATGCAAGTAGACACTTTTTGCCCTTATAGTGTAGCATCCTTATAAATTGCGTAATTATTTATAAAGTTTATTTTCCTTGTGAGCTCTGATCTAAACAAGTACCCTTTCTTGCACATAATTCGTTGTGTACTTATGCTCTAGTTTGAGTTATTCAATGCTTTATCAAATGAAGTTCCTGCTGAATTTATGCCATAGTTATATTTGAACCTTGTGTTGAGTCATATATGCTCTCTTTGTAAATATCTATTTGTTTTTCTCTTAGCACAAATTATTTTGCATTTCTATGTCTTTTAAGCTCATTAATTCTGACTGACTTTATTTATGCAGCTTGTATCACCTGTGAAGATGACTTTTCAAATGTAAGAAATTTCCGCTATAACTATTTGCAGTATTTCGTTTAGTATCAGTGTATGTTAGTCCTTTCTCCTTGAATATGCAGATATGCAACATGTGTTATTCCTATCAGTGCCTTCTTTGCCTCAAGTCTATGGTAAGAAATATATGCTCTGTTTACACAACACACTTTCACTCATTTGACAGTAGTCATTCTTAGAAAAATATCACATCAAATACATTTTTTTCTCTTACAAAACATCAAATCAAATACTAACTTTTTACTTTTTCCAAACTTCCAAATTTCCAAAAACCCCTTATCTAAACAAACCCATATATTTTATCCAAGTTTAGAAGAATGAGTAATGTTTCATAGTTTTTGCTTTATTTATCCCAAGCTTACGGTTGTGTCCAATTTCGTCTCTTTCTTTTCTTTTTTTTTTTTTTTTTAAGAGACAGTGTATTAGGCATTTATTTAAGTGCTTGCTAATTAAACCATATTGCGTTACAGGTTTGGAAATACTGCTTACTTGTTCATCTCGGTGGCATTTATCCAGATGCTTAAAGCCCTAAGTATGCCCACCTATCTTGTAAGCTTGATTCAATTTATCCTACAAAGTTTTACTGACAAATTTCCCCCCTGTCTCTCTGTCTTTGTGCAATCACTTAATGACAGTGCCAGTTGCTACTTTCCTGATGGCTGTTATCTGCGGCACTGATAAACTCAGATGTGACGTCTTCCTAAACATGGTCTTGGTTAGTTTAGGCGTTGTCATATCTTCATATGGGGAAATTCATTTCAACATAGTCGGCACAGTCTATCAAGTTACAGGAATATTTGCTGAAGCTCTTAGGCTGGTTCTAACACAAGTTCTACTTCAGAAGAAGGGATTAACACTCAATCCCATCACAAGTTTATATTACATTGCTCCTTGCAGGTATGCTGTCTTCCATGTTTGGAAATTGACATTCACACATATGAAGAGCCATTTTATGTAAATAATTAAAGCAAAGGCTTTCTTATCTTTTACACTTTTTCTAATATTTAACTCTCTCATATTAAAAAAAATTATTTTCCCGTACAAAACATCACATAAAGAATGCTAAAAAGTTCAAAAAGAACACACCCTAAGTATTTTAATTCGCTTATAAAGTATTAAACTAATGTTTTTATAAGGCGAAGAATATTGAACTTATTATGTTCCTGTAGCGTTTAAAATTTGGAAGACCTACCCTGCAGTTGCTATATTGAATGGCTTTTTCAAGCTACTTGTATGAATATTTGTGTTGCCTTTTTGTGTGCAGTTTCGTGTTTCTCTTTGTTCCCTGGTACCTTTTGGAGATGCCTGAAATGGGAATATCACAGATCCAGTTCAACATTTGGATATTTTTCTCAAATGCACTATGTGCATTGGCTTTGAATTTCTCGATCTTTCTAGTAATTGGTAGAACCAGTGCAGTGACCATTCGGGTGTCTGGAGTTTTAAAGGACTGGATACTAATTGCCCTTGCAACTATACTTTTTCCAGAGTCAACAATCACCAAACTAAATATTATTGGTTATGCAATTGGTAATATTCTCAATCCACAGTTGATCTCTATTTTTCGAAGTTTTCAGTTCTTAAGGCATGCTAAAATTTTCATTATCTCTACAGCCTTGTGTGGTGTTGTGATGTATAATTACCTAAAGGCCAAGGATGTAGGTTCATCCCAAATGCCTGGAGAGAGTCTTATCGATCGAGCAGCAAAGGTAAAACTTCTTTCTTATATTCAATGAGATCCCATTATTCCTTTTATCTCTAAAGACAGTTTGATCGCTGTTCTTTAAAAACTTTGCAGCCAAATATCTTGCTTTGTTCCATTTTCTGTCTAATGATGATTGTGTTACTCTAACATGCTTAAGAAAGACTCTTGTTTCGACTATACAATACTAGGGAAGTGCTATTTTTTGTCTTTCTCACATAAACAAAAAATTATGTTACCAGGAATGCAGATGGGGTAAATAATAACTTCTCTCTGTACATCACAAAAATGTCAATAATCCGCATGAAGAAACAAGCCACCAGAAAACAATTTTAATCTTATTCTTACTTCATAATTTTCTTTTAAATTTTCTGTATTTTATGTCGGAATCCTTTTGGTTGGAAGACTATCATACGTATAATTCTGCATTTTCTTATAAAGTTTTAGATGAAATGGTCATTTAATGTAGTATCAGAATCTCCACATGTATGAATTCCATTTGCACATGAGGGGTGTGTTAAAAACCTATAATATATATAACTGTAAGCTTAAATTTTCACGAATTTAGGTGTCTACAATATACACGATGATTGATTATTTGTCTTTTCATTATTTGCAGGACCTTAAGTTGGACAAGAAGGCATCTGATCTGCATTTTCCAGACGATAATCAATTGAATAGCACCGGAGGAAAGATTGGAAGGAATCTAAACCATCTAGAGGCAAAAGGAGATGAAGAAACACCATTTATTCCTTATACAAAGGGCCTTTCGTCGAGGACAAAGCCCAGCTAACACCACGGCTCATCAGATATCGATTCCTTCTTCCCTTCTTTACTCAGTCCTAGTTAGAATGCTCTTGGGTGCTTCAATCATTTCCCTGAAATTTTGTCATTCTTTACCAATATGTCTACTGCAGGAGATCGACTCTTCGATTCGTCATCGTACAAATGTAGCAAAAGTGTTTGTAGTTAAGCTTCATTAGGTGTTGTATGTTGTGATGGCAAACAGGTAGTAGTTTGTGAAGCCTTGTGTTCTCAATGTTTTGTCACATTATCACCTCCTATGTTCTACCACAAAGTTTTGGAAATATTCATGGTGCTGAGGTTATTCAATTTCAACACTACTTTTAATCAAGTTTTGTTTACTTGCCAATTAATTTTACTATTCAATTATTTTTTTTTATAAATACACATCAGTCCATTTGTATTTGGCCGTTATTGTTTTTAACATTAAAAATATCTTTATATTTGTATAATTTTTTGTATAGATGTCATTACGTTAATATTATAAGAAATATTTTTGTCATTTTTTCTAGATTTGTACTATTTTTTATATAATAATTAATATTCAAATATTAACATGCAAAAGGTAAATGAATAGATTAGCGGTGGACGGAGGTAGTATAATTTTTTGTAAGGGTGTTCATTCGGATAGTAAAAAATTCAATCCATATCTGATCCGAAAATTATCAGATACCCAAATCCAATCCGAAGATTCTCAAATATCCGATGTTCTGGGTATCCAAATTTTCGATCAGCACCGGATTATACAAAAAAAAAAATTAAAAATTGCATTTAGAATATACTTCATTAGATAAGAAAGAGGCATAAAATTTTAAAAATTGTCTTAAAACTTAATAATTTCATACAAATTATGTTAATCATAAGAAAAATTCTAGCTCCGCAACGAGCATGCTTGTTTGTTGATCGACAATTATGAATCATTATACTTGAAATCCGTCTATTCATTGAGATAAAGTTGGAGACATTGAGACTTTGAACTTATAATTCTATAGACCATGGTAACAAGTTCACCTCACTACCATAATTCCTTATAGGACTAATATATAGTTTTTAATTAAATATAGAATTAAAAAAAAATCATTTTTTGTCATAATATAATCAAAATATATCAATTTTTGTCTCAGTATAAAAATATTATCTATTTTGGTTCCAATATAATCAAAACTCATCATTTTTTGTCTCAATATAACCAAAACTCATATTTTTTGTCCAAATATAAAATTTTTATCAATTTTAGTCTTAATATAATCAAAACTCATAATTTTTGTCATAATATAATCAAACCTTATATTTTTTGGTCCCACCGTCGACAAACCGACGGAAAATGCTACATGAAAAGAAATCAAACCTTATATTTATATTTGAAGAAATTGCACAATCTTGCAAGTCCACGTCAGCATTTTCAGTCGGTTTGTTAACGGTGGGACCAAAAAAGATAAGGTTTGATTATATTGGGACAAAAAATGATGAGTTTTGGTAATATTGAGACTAAAATTGATAAAAAATTTATATTGGGACAAAAAATGATGAGTTTTAGTTATATTGAGACCAAAATTAATAAGATTTTTATATTTGGACCAAAATTGATGAGTTTTGGTTATATTGGGACAAAAAATGATGAATTTTAGTTATATTGAGACCAAAATTGATAATATTTTTATATTATGATCAAAATTGATGAATTTTGTTTATATTGGGACCAAAAATATTTTCTTTTTCTAAAAACAAATATAGAATTTGTCATATCATTCCCGTAAATAGATGGAGAGAGTGAATATAATATGAGTACTTTTAGTATATAGATTAAAGTAAAGTGAGTATATTTTTTTAAGGCAAATATTTTTTTTTGTGTGTGTATAAAAAGTAACAAAATAATGTATTTTTTAAATTAATTTAATCCTTTAATTTTTTATTTTTTATGTAAAAAAAAAAGAAAAATTGATATTGTTCCATTGATTTGTCCTCTAGTTTTATTTTTTTAATTTTATTTGATAAAAATATTAAAATTTATATAGTTTTGTTGATTTTCTTTAAGTATCTCTTGGCTATTTTTTTTTTCAAGATTTTCTTTACTCAACTAAGATAATGGAAATAAAAAAAAGAAACATAAAAGGTGCATTTGAGAGTCAACTTATCATTTTTAGTTCTTAATTGATGCAATTAGGGTGTTAGCTGATTTAATTAATTGATTTAATTAGTTGATTCAATTGGTTGTATGTATTTAATTATTTGTATTTAAATATTTGGTAAAATAATTGTTCAATATTAACGGTTTATATGTAAAATGACAATTGAATATATATATATATATATTAAATATTGAATTTTTCTCTTTTGAGTTTGAAAATTTTTTTTATTAGTTATTAAAAAATGTGAAAGTGTTATAAAATATTGATTTTTTTTTTTTTATAATTTTTAGATTTGAAAAAAAAAATATGTTTATTGACAATATTAATATATTTTTTTATTAAGAATTGCATAAAATAATATAAGACAAAAATGATAATAGAATATATACTTGAGATATTTTTTACAATTTTCTCAAATACAAATTATATTTTATGTTTTCACTAGTAGATTTTTTATTTGAGTTTTGCACACAGATTAACGTAAATTAATATTTTATAAATATATAGCGTAATAAAGTAATATAATATTTATTTTACCTTTGAAAAGTAAAAACCAAAAGTAATTTAATATTTAGTTGAGAGTTGCTTTAAAAAGGAAATGAAAATTTTTTATTTGAATAGACTAAAATTGACAAATAAAAAATTTACTATTGGAAGTAGGAAATAATAATTATACAAAGTCTTGACTTTTTATTTATTTATTTTTATATAACGTTTATTTAGATTTTGACAAAAATATTGTACCTTTATTTTTTTTACTATACAATGATCATGCACTCTTATAAATATACGAGTATAATTTTATTTCATAAAATTTTATATTAACTTTTAAACCTAAAATTATAATAAAATAAAATAAAATCACTATTAACTAAACACTTATTATTATTATTATTATTATTATTAATTTTCAATGTATAATATCATAGTAACAAAATTTTCAACTTAAAATATCAATTCCAAATCATAAACATGCCAAAAGAACATTTAACAGCTACTTTCAACTTTATAATATTAAGTAAAAAAAGAAATTATATAATAAATATCTTTATTTAATATATTATATTATTTTCATTTGGTGTATATATATATATATTTACTTTTTATATGTATATTTTGAATATGATGAATGTACAATTTTACATTTTGATATATATATTTTGAACAAATCAAAAATGCCAAAATAGATAAATTGAATTCAGCATAAAATTAAAATTTTTCTATTTTAAAAATATTATTTCAATATTTATTCACATCACATTAAAATCATTTTTATTTTAAAATATAATTTCTCTCTCTATTCGCAGTTAAAGAATACAATTGATCCTATATATAATATATACTCAAATATAAGTAAATAAAAACAAATTTAAATATAAATCTACTAAATCTAAAATTAAAGATTTAAAATATCTCAATTTTATTTTTAATTTTTAAATTAAATATCTAAAAAATCTCAACAATTCTAAACACAAAATATACATCTTATTTTCTTGTAAATATAACTATATTACACATTATAAATATCTTTAAACTTATATTTATTTACATCAAACTTAAGTTGGTATCAAATTTAAGAATTATTTATATTTAAAATACCATATACAATTGTTTATCTTCAATATTTTTCACTAGTAAAAAAGGTTTGTTTGATTATGTTTTTTCAAATTATTATTATTATTATTATTATTATTATTTATCTATTTTTAATGTTAATTTGTAACTCCCTCAAATATCACTATCATACAATCATTGCGGAGTAAATTGCAAAAAATATCCCACATTTATACCCTATTATCACTTTTGTCATGTATTTATCTCCCTAGCAAAATATATCCCACATGTTTACAAAAGTCGTTATTTATGTCATTTTCTCACGCGTGAAATTCACACCACGCGCCCTTACGCGCAATCACGCGCGCGCATGCGCGGTCAAATGACATAAATAACGACTTTTGTAAACATGTGAGATATATTTTGTCAGGGAGATAAATACAGGACAAAAATGACAATGAGGCATACGTGTGGGATTTTTTTGCAATTTTCCCAATCATTGTGTATTTACTTAGATTACATACAAAATCTTCTTATTCCAGATATTAAATTAAATATTTATTTATATAACATCAAATAATTACTATAATCTAAAAAAAAAAAAAAGAAAAAAAAAGAAAAAACACAACCAAACAAACCATAATTTTCCTAACACATATATAAGTATATTATATATTTGTGCATGCTTAAATGAAGTTTTATGTAGCTATCTTATCTTTGTGATAGATTCTAAAAGATACGTATTAATATTTTATTGGATTTGGATCAAAAAAATAATAAACCGTGTGCACTAATTTAATTAAACAATATAAGTGAAAAGCTGAACAAACATTAATTTAAGTTGAGTATTATATTTTTTTATTTATCAATGTACTAATGGGGAGTCGTGATATGCACGTCCAATCGATAAATTAATTATTTTATTGATTTTTTTTTAATAAAATATCGTATTAATGTATATTTAACAAACTATTTATATAATTTTTAAATTATTAAAATTAATCGCTACTTTCTCCGTCTCATATAATTTATCTTTATTTTCTATTTTCGTCCGTCCAACGTAATTTGTTCTTTCTTTTTTTTGGAAATATGATTATCCACTTTAATCATATTTTAAATTTTAAGTTTTATAATTTTTTTTAATCTTAATTAAATTATTTATTTATCTTAATCTTAATCTATAATTATTTTTACTAATACACTTTTTAATTATCTATTAATTATACTTTATCTAAAGCGCCCAAAATATATGGGATAGAGGGAGTATTATTTAAAATAATAAATATATAAAATTTAAATATAAAAATAGTATAAATAAATTAATACATTAAAAAAATGTAATTGAAAATTGAGTTTAATTGGGTTGAACAATTCACAAAATCCTAAGTGTTTCTTTTTAATATTGTCATAGTATTTCTCAAGTGAACATTTCTATTTTTATTATATTCTTTTACATTCAATTCATTTTTTGTTTTAATCGAATAATTTTGCTATTATTGTCATATTCGTGTATAAAAATTTGATTAAATAAACAATTGATTTGCTCTTTGTTGTAAATTTATTTAAATAAAATTTGATTAAATAAACAATTGATTTTGATTAAAGATGACTATATCAAAATAAATTTATTTAAATTTATAATTTTAATAAAAAATAATTAATTATT